TTAATGTGCAATTTTATTGAGGGACTGTGCGTTGTCTTGGTGTGGTCTGGGACTGTTTTTGTTTTGCTGCCTTGCCCAAAGTTGCATTTGGTGCTGAAAGATCGGCAAGAATTGATGCATTTATGCATTTTGTACTGAAACATACTTTATTTATATATATTTAGTGACTTGCTTATCTTTACTACACTTTACAATCCCATTTGTTTTTTTGTTTGTTGCTTTACCTTTGTGACCCGCCCTTACTGGACATCGGTGAAAAAAAGTTTCATAGCTCATCGGATTCTTCCAGTCTAAATAAAGACCCTAATTCTAATTCTGAAGTGTAGCAAGATTTTGCTCCCAGCCTGGTCACCTTTACACACAAAAACCCATAATACAAAACAATGTTTACTTTAATTTGCTTTAGTCCAGCTTTGAGAGGGTTTTAGCAATTTTTGATGAGTTACCAATCAAGACATTTAAATTGCAAGAAGAATGAATATGAAAGAAAATATACAGGTGTATGTAAATACTTGTCAAATATCTACCAAAAGGTCACGTTGGCCCTATTTTACTTCATTAAATCGGAGCAGATTGCACCAGAATCCTTTATTTTAATGCACAATACAGTACATCAGTAGTGCAGCTTCGAAATAAAAGACACACAATACAGGTGGAGAAAAAAAATATTTTCAAAAATCTGCCAAGAGTTTAATATTTCCTTCTTTCAAAACAAAAAAAGAGAAAACAACTGCTCGGGCACTGGAGGCTGAGCAAATACAGGAAACATGTTTATGCCAACCGCAGTTAATCTGGAAATAGATGTTGCCGGAGATAAACGCTCACTTTTACGAAGGGGGCGAGCGCAATTTCCCGTAAGGACATGGAAAAATAGGTGCAACCACCTCGTGTGTGGACCGCTAAATGCCATAAATAACCAACGGAACAACCCAACCGGGTGGCATTGTGGTTAATAGCGCATGGCGCCCACAGTCGGAAGGTTGCGAGTTCAAATCTCATTTGGGGGTGACCACGCAAACCCATCGTCCAGTGGTGTAGCTATTGAGTGGGCAGGCAGTGCAACTGCACCAAGGCTTACGGATCACATGAGCCTGAGTGCTGGGCATCAAGGAAGGGAGGAAATTAGAGAGGGAGGTGAGGGGGTATTTTAATTTTTCCACCAACGCCCATGCCAACCACGCTACGCCACGGCCATCACCACTTGCACAGACTGGTTCACGCTCATTAAATTACCACCACTTTGTGGTCATCCTATGGATCAGCCATCAGAATGCAAGGTGGACAGGAGATGGCAGGGTTGAATGTCACCCCCCCCCCACCCCTCAGATGTGTTGGTGGGTTTGATATAAGTTCTCAGGTTTCTTCCCAAACATGAAACCAAACTCTCACTAATGGAATTGTCAAACATTCCAATGCAAGACCCTCCTTTAAAACATATAGTCTTGAGACTCAGCGAGGCTTTTCTTCTTGAAAACATAAGTGGCAACATTTGTGAATGGCTCTGAGGGGGGGTGGGGAATGCAATGCAGATCGCTACTGCCCCATTACTTGACCAAGAGCTTTGATGGCAACGTTCGTGAACTTTTATTTTAAAATTACAGTTGCTGATCACATGACCAAAGTTCGCAAAATGTCAAGCGGACAGGAGAAAAAAACAGCACGATGCAGTTGAGCGAAGTTATTAAAATAACGAGGGGGAAAGGAGATGATGGGAGGGAATTAAAAAAGTCGAGCGGTGCAAGAAAAGATGCAGAAAGAGAAGTGAGTTCGCGGCGTCTGTGGAGCTCATCTCAAGCGGCTGATGGCTCACAATTCTACAAACTAAACCATGTTTTATTTCAGCAGGTAAGACCCGCTGAGCTATATAGCTCTTTTTGCAGAAGCGACCTGGTCACAAATGATAGCTCAACGAAGTGGCTTATCACGTGGAAATGTATAGCAGCAAGCAGCCAAATACTCTAACCGCATGTTCATTCGAATTGTGGAGGGAAAAACCGGAGGCCCTGGAAAAAAAATCCCCGTGACCACGAGGAGATAGAGACATCGCAAACTACAAATATACAGCAGACGTCAGCGTCGGGATCGAACCCACGGTCTCCTCTATACCAGGCGAGGCAGTTAGTTGACATCTCGCCACCGACAAAAATGATGATGGTGATTTGGAAAAGGTTATTATTACGTGAAAACTCTTGCACTGCGATAACGTCTACGAGTTACATTGGAATTACATGGAGAGTGGATGTTCTTGGAAAATCCAAATAATTGTGCGTTCCCGCATCGTAACTCACGGAGTGTAGAGGCAATGGTACGGTAATAATTAACCAGGGCAAAGTGGGAAACGCTCACGTGAAGATAAGGCATGTTACTGCTGTGTGCACCTGAGTGCTGAGCTGCTCTGATGGACTGAGGACTCACGCATGCTAGAAAGTCACACGTTACAGAAAGTGTTGCATTTACAGTCACTGTAATCAGATTACTCATACAGAGAGCAAGGTCAAGTCAAAGTGTATCGGTGAGCACTGACTGACAGTGACGGATGGCACCACGCTCCGCGTGCAGTGCCAGCCCCTACAGGATAGAGGGCGAGAGTTGCCGGGCACGGTACGGGGTTCAAAAGGGGGCCATGGCACTCTGGTTGAACCCGGAGGACACGTGACCGGATGTATCTACCCCGGGGACCCCCAAAGGGGGTCGCTGGGGTGATCACGTGTCCAGGTGGAGATCCTTCTCGAGGTTTCGAGAAGGTGGGCGTGGCCCGTGGCGGATGACGTTTCAAAAGCTGCGTGGACGACCCGTGGTGTATTAGGTGGCAGAGGTGCAGCCCTGCAATTGCTCGCTCACACCACCGCTGGCAGAAGGACCTCCACTAGAGGGAGCTTTAGAGAGTGCGTCTAGAGAGTTTTTTGGCCTACTCTTCCATTCGGGTCAGACATCTTGGCAGAAGTGGGAGCACCCTCCATTCTCCCCAACACATGCGTCCCGCCGATCGACTGACTTTAACCATCGTAGTCGCGATATCAGAGGGATAAGGAGGCGACTGACCGCCGCGAGTGGTGAGCGAGTGACAGCTGTCAATCAATGTTTTGACAATTTTACATGTATGAAAATATCTCAAAAGCGGTCGACGACATTCAATAAAACTCCACGAGTGCGTCAATAGCACTGCCTTTAAAATCGTAAATATATACATAGCAGGCGACGTTTTGGGCAAAGGGCCATCTTCATAGCACTCACAGCATTTATTTGCTAAGAGGAAGAGTCACTGCCATTCCCACGTGAGCCATTTGTGATGCATGTGCCATGAAGAAGGTCCATTGCCCAAAACGTCCCCTATTACACTATTACATATGTATCCTTCAAAGGGCACAGAGTTGTTATTTAAGAACGTATCTCAGATATGTGTGCTTGTGCACTACTGCAAACGCAGAAGCAGCAGCAGCATCGCCAATTTTTCGTGATATTTTCAAGACACCCAATCCCAATCAATTGCTCTCTACACATTTTTGTAGGGGGGGTGGTGGGTGGGGGTGATGGGGGAGGGGAGTAGGGGGGGGTGGTAACAACTGCCCCTTTTGCCAGCCCCCCACCCCTCAACCACATCGCAGCACCCTACCACCCCCTGGAGCAGTCGCTCCACGTGGAATGCGGCCCCTGCATTACAGCGGCACAGTTCTGCACACGGGAGGAGCCATGGCGATGGGAAGTGCCTCCTCTCTCGCTGTAATGGAGCTCACGCGAGCTCTCTCTGCGCGTCGCCCTTTTGTCGGCGTCTTTGCTCTGCCTATTAAATCTGGCATGGGAACGCGGCGGGGAACGGCCGCGCATTTCATATGTTTGCAGAGCGGAGCGGCACAATGATGGGAATGTGGGCAGAGTTGAGAATTATCGCGTGGAATGCGCGTGGATTACAATTAATTATTCGGGCTGCATTGAAAACGGGCTGGAGAGTGGAATAAAGTCGTTCTCCCGGTATATAATAGCGGCTAAGATTAGTTTGTATAAGGCTTGTGAAATATTAGGGGGAAAAAAAAACAGCTGCCCTCAATAACCAGAGAATCACCTTACCACCAAATCACCCTGAACGCGCCCAATCTCGTGAGACCTCGGAAGCTAAGCAGGTTTCAGTTTGGCTTGTACAGCACTTGGATATGTAGCCACCAGCACTTATCAGGTGTTGTAGGTGTGAGACTCAAAGTTGCCAGGAGATGGCAGCGTTCAGTGTCATCCCCTCGAAAGTGATGCTGTGGGTTCGCTGTGGGTACAGTGTCCCCTCGTCATTCGCGAATGATACGTTCCGGAGATGCTCGCGGTGAGACCCAAACATATAAAAACCGGGCCAGATGTTGCTTGCTTAAACGAAATGCTGTTGGATAATATTTGGGTGGAAATCCAAAAAGTCCGTGTGATAAAATATGTTTGTTCATGCGTGAAAACACAAGAACAAATGTCGACTTATATGTGCTCTTCCATTTAAGGTCGCGTTTAATCTTTTTAAAAATCGCGTCGCTGATAACACGAAGCAGAGAGTCGGGATTTCAACAACAAAAACAACAAAATCTTCGAGCGAATTTCAACACTAACATTTGTTTTGTCGATTGGCTCAGGATTTCAAGCGATGAGCCTGAGCCAGGATCTCGGCATGCGCTAATGATGACAACAGCATGCACAGTCACAACATCCTGCAGAAGATTAACGGGATACACACTCGAGTGTCCCACGCACGTCATGCCACTCACAGGTGTTCCACTCAGCTCCCAGCTCACTCCGGCCTCTCATCTCGGTCACAAATCAGTGCTCGAGCATAGGGAAGCCAAGCCGAGCCAAGGCGAGGAGGAGATGCATGCAGTTATTCTTTGGTTTTTTCGGTAAAGTCACGTATAAAGATAAAATAATAAATTAAATAATAGCATACTATAATTTATTATCGGTAAAGTCACGTATAAATAATAGTATGCTATTATTTAATTTATTATTTTATCTTTATACGTGACTTTACCGAAAAAAACCAAAGAATAATTCCTGCAGTCACGAAAGCTCCAAAATTAAGATTGCATGCAGTTAGTTGGGTGGAGGGACTCTTGATTTTTTTCGCCTCTTCTCTCGTATGGCAAGGTGATTTGTGACGTTACGTGCTGACATTGGTGAATCAGTGGAGGGCTGCAGGAGTAATGTTATAAATGTTTAAGATGCTGCCCGCAAAATGACCGAAGCAGGCAGCAAATGACCGAAGCAGCCACTATTTGTCGATGCGTTCATAGCTACAGTCGCTGCTTTCATCTTCCAGAGGAGTATTCGGTGGCCACACCTGTTATATATATAAAAAACATATTTTCATTCCAAAAATTCCCAATCTACCAACTGACGAAAGCCTCCCCACGCCATGTCGCTCATGGGATAATTTGACCGCACTTACCCCAACGGTCGATGTAGGCTATATGGAAGTTTGTTGTCGAGAGAGATTGATACGAGAGAGATTGACGACCCTATGTAAACTCCCCGCTGGATGAAAGTGCTCGTGCCGTGTCCATCCTGTGTGTGTGTGTTTTTTTTTACCACACTTCACCACGTTGACCAGTGTAAGTTGGGGAAGCAAAGGTTGGGGGGCGTGGGGGGGGCAGGACTAGTTCAACCAACTAAGGTCGGAATTACTTTGCACCTTACAACCACTGTAACTACCGCATTTGGAATTAACTATAAAAAAACACATTCCAAGGTCAAAACCAAAATGGTCAACTTCTTGGTTCTTTCGGTAAAGTCACGTAGAAGGGAAGTAATAAAATAATAAAAATAAAACATAATAAAATAATTCTCACGACGTTTCGGCTACAACCCAAGCAGCCGTCCTCAGGTGAAACCAGGTCTGTCGAGGCGACAGCGTCTGAATGAAACAGCACACGTGCTTGGAGCATATATATAAGCTGGGTTGGGAGGGGGGAAAAGGGCGTCTTGACAAAATAATTTGCATATCAAGAGGAATTTAGCATATTTATGGGAAATGCAGGTATGTGATTAGTACTGCTTATGTCCGTGCATTATGCAGGATTAGCAGCATCCAAGGGAGGGGATATGGGAAATGCGTTGTGGCCGAAACGTCGTGAGAATTATTTTATTATGTTTTATTTTTATTATTTTATTACTTCCCTTCTACGTGACTTTACCGAAAGAACCAAGAAGATGAATCCCTGCAGTCACGAAAGCTTTAAATCGAAACAAAATGGTCAAGTTGCACATTTTCGTCGTGCGTCGGAGCCTGTAAGTCAATTCACGTGTTTATGTTTAGCTGTGGAAAGTGTGTGCGGCTCTTCTGCAGAAAGTGCTCACTCGGCAATAGTTCTGGTCTGCGCCAGCGAGACCAGGCTCCAGCATCATCAGCCCTCCGCTGCTTGTAATCCAGCACTGCGTTAGCAAGACCTGTGGGGTCACAAACAGAATATTGCTTGCGGTTACGAGATTCCCAAAACACTGGAACTTCGAGATGGCCAGGACATGTCATTAGTGATATCTCTGAATAATTATTTTAAAAAAAACTATGATTCCCACGTGTGCGCTGGTATTCTCCCACGTGCTCTTTAAAAGGAAATGGACAAACATGCCAATGCAGGACCCTGCACACCGTGCAGAACAAGGGGGGGTTATTTGACCATACTTCACCATGCTGGTCAGTGTGGGTTGAAGGTGAGCAGCATAGAAGCGGGAGCATATTGAAGTACACTTTTGCTGTACTGTCATCTGCTGCCCACTGCATAGCCCCACAGCCTATGGCAACCTGTTTGTGCATTGTGGTCACTAATCCAAGCACTATTCGGGCTCAACCACGGTTAGCTTCTGAGATCTGATGAACAATTCCGGTGATTTCGTCAGAGGCATTATGATCATGAGAGTGTCATCATCACCATAATTGTTATTACAGTTTCAATGCTGATAACTGTTGCGTAATAATTTCATACAGATGTAGCGGGCTCAAACGGAGACTCAGACGAACTCTTGGAGGCAACACATTTTATTACCACCAACACACTAACACAAAGGGGTAACTTGCCCTTTCACCGGATAACAACCTATGGGGGTGGTCCATCAGGACAACCACACTAACTGCACTGGGAGTAGCTACGTTGGACGGGACCCCAGCTTGGGTCCAGGTCCCCGTGTTGGTGACCTGTCTTCGGACGCAGGGCGCAGAACGTAGCGTCTTCAGGATAACAACAGCAGCCGGTGCCTCTCAGGGCTCCGGCTTATAACCTGTATGGCGAGGCTGGCTCCGCCCCGCCCACCTTCTCGAAGCATCAAGAAGGATCTCCACCTGGACACGTGATCACCCCAGCCCCCCTTTGGGGGTCTCTGGGTAGATACCTCCGGTCACGTGTCCTCCGGGTTCAACCAGAGTGCCGTGGCCCCCCTTGTAACCCCCGTGCCGTGCCCGGCACTCTCGCCCACTATCCTGTAGGGGCTGGCACTGCACGCAGAGCGTGGCGACATCCGTCACTGTCAGTCAGTGCTCACAGAGCCCCGCTCGGGTCGGTACTGCATCCACCCTCGGTGGTGTCTGCGATGTCAGAACATCGCGCGCCGTGCCATCTCCCAGGCCGGCTTCACACAGTGACATACACAGTGACATCCAACGATGTTACGACACAGACATCTCTTCAGTGTCAGGCTTTCTTAAAAGAGATGTTGTTATCCGCTTGCAAGGAGCTCACTGTCATTGACACAGCCGAGTTGTTGCTGCCATTGTTGCTGCTGTTACTGCTATTGCTGCGTCATCATCTCTGCATGTATGTGTGTTGAACTTCTTCACATCGTACGTTTTTTACCGTGCTAATCGGAGGTGCTGGGGGGGAAAGGACACCAAACTAAGCACAAAAAAGCAATTATATTAAAAAAAATTAGTTTTCGATCGAGATTTTTTAACAGCGGAAAGGAAGAGAGTTCCAGACGGCCGTCAACGCGCATCTGAAAGCGCGCGGTGCGGTGACGACTACCGTACGTAGCCAAGAGGCCCCGCTGCTGCTGCTGCCATGATGACCGCAATGCAACTCCATCACTCTCGCTTGCCCATCCGCCTCTGCTCCCTGCCGCTTCCCTCGTCCGCTAAACCTCTGCCACCAAGCTTCCGTGCAGCTGCTGTCTCAGCGGTCAGCCGCCCTGTGGCCCCTTCACGTCCAGCGGGCACCGGCTGATTAATCTGCGACGTGCTCTATTGTGCTCCGGTCTCCGCAGAGGTGGGGAGGAGGAGGATTGGGGGGGGGGGGGCAAGGGTTCTTTTAGGGCAGTGATGCTTGCGCACTCGTCTCGGTTTGAACCGGCCCCACGTCTTCTTACACAGCGTTGTGGTCAAGGAACACGTGCTTGGTCCAGCCTTTCCTCGCACTCCGATTAGCACGTTTGGCTACGTACGGTGCGAAAGAAGTTCAACATAAAACCCGAATAAAACGTGAAGCTTACAGGTACGGGCGTGCGTCAATGGGTACTTCATTGAGATCCGGGATTACGAAACCCACAGACGCGCGCCTTCCCAGTAAACCTGAAACGTTGAGCCAAAGTTGGCACAACCACGTGGCAACGCTGGGCCAACGTTTCCATGTTGCCTGGGTTTCCACGGTCCATTTTCCCGCACGGCTTGGGGGAGGCCTTTATCCAACAGTGGATTGACCATGGTTGACGATGAACATTGTGATGAACGTCACTTTTGGAATGCGCTTCGTTTTGCTACTTTTGAAAGGCGTTGCTACGTTCAGCGACGGATGATTTATTGGCATTGATTACGCTGATTGCTACCGTTGCTGCTGGATGCCGAGTAAGCTGTCGCTGCTGCCGATGATTGATTTCCTGATTTGGTATTTACAATGCTTATTGTAGCTGATGATGAGCATGCATTTTTTTGCCGATTCATAATGAACATCATCATCAGCAGCATGCATGTTTACCGTCACATAATTGTGAAGCTGCTGCTAAATAGCTGCTGACGAAGATGATGCTGCTGATACATATACTCATAGAGACGCTACTGGCAGCTGCTTATGATGATGATGATGATACTGATAGAGACGCTACTGCAGCTGATGATGATGATGATGATACTGGTAGAGACACTACTGCAGCTGATGATGCTGCTGCTCATAGAGACGCTACTGGCAGCTGATGATGATGATGATACTGATAGAGACGCTACTGCAGCTGATGATGATGATGATACTGATAGAGACACTACTGCAGCTGATGATGATGCTGCTGCTCATAGAGACGCTACTGGCAGCTGATGATGATGATGATACTGATAGAGACGCTACTGCAGCTGATGATGATGATGATGATACTGATAGAGACGCTAATGCAGCTGATGATGATGATGATACTGATAGAGACGCTACTGGCAGCTGATGATGATGATGATACTGATAGAGACGCTACTGCAGCTGATGATGATGATGATACTGATAGAGACGCTACTGGCAGCTGATGATGATGCTGCTGCTCATGGAGACTCTACTGGCAGCTGATGATGATGATACTGATAGAGACGCTACTGCAGCTGATGATGATGATGATACTGATAGAGACGCTACTGGCAGCTGATGATGATGCTGCTGCTCATGGAGACTCTACTGGCAGCTGATGATGATGATGATGATACTGATAGAGACGCTACTGGCAGCTGATGATGATGATGATACTGATAGAGACGCTACTGCAGCTGATGATGATGATACTGATACGAGACGCTACTGGCAGCTGATGATGATGCTGCTGCTCATGGAGACTCTACTGGCAGCTGATGATGATGATACTGATAGAGACGCTACTGCAGCTGATGATGATGATGATACTGATAGAGACGCTACTGGCAGCTGATGATGATGCTGCTGCTCATGGAGACTCTACTGGCAGCTGATGATGATGATAATGATAGAGACGCTACTGGCAGCTGATGATGATGATGATACTGATAGAGACGCTACTGCAGCTGATGATGATGATGATACTGATAGAGACGCTACTGGCAGCTGATGATGATGCTGCTGCTCATGGAGACTCTACTGGCAGCTGATGATGATGATGATCTCAGACACCATCAGCGCCAACGCGCGTGTCAGGTCACGTCAGGCAAGCAAGCAAGGTTCGGCTCGGTCAAAGTTTCCCCACTGCCACCTGCTGGCTGAAGCGTGCACAGCAGAAGGCGTCTCGCGATCCCAAACATCGAATCTGATCAACGTTTGCTCCCCTTCCACCTTCCCCGTCGTGTTGACCTGGGAAGGCTGCGGCTTGGGCCTCGGCAATCCTCCTCCTAAGGGAGAGTTCGAGCAAGTTGAATGTTTGGAAGGCGATGTCGCCGACCGTGTTAATCCCAATCGAGTCGTTTGCCTCGACGTGAAAAACACTCAGGACTGGTGTGCCACTCGCTCTCTGCTAAGGGGCCGTCCATAAATGACGTCACGCACCTGCGGAGGGGGGTGGGGTCAGATATTTGTGACGATGTGTGACGAGGGGGGGGCGGTTGAGGAATTTGACGTCACATCAAAATGCGCAACTTTAAATAAATATAGACAACACGTTCTACTTAATTAAATATACTTTTTAATAAATGTTTTCTCCTACAACATCAGAGTGCAGCGCCGCATTAAATACGCACTACAATGACAATAGTTTAAAGCGATTTGAAGCATGTTTTATTTGAGGGGGGGGGGGCAGAGCTTTGTGACGTCATATTTGAGGGGGGTCTGACTTTTTGTGACGCCGTGTGACGAGGGGGGGGGGGTTCAAAAATCGTCCAAAATCGCGTGACGTCATTTATGGACGGCCCCGAATCCCCGGAAAACAGCTGGAAGTACATCGCTTCAACATTGTCGTCGCTTCAATTGCATCTACCAGTTTTACATCCATCACAGTCCGATGCCGAGCCGTCGATTATTTACTTTTTGAGGGTTTTTAATCATTTCACTGGCAATTGCGTTTAACTTGTACATCTTCGTCTCGTTTAAATGTCGGTACTAAAAATCATCACCCCCACGCCTGGTTTATGTTTCTGTCACGCAATTTTTGTAATTGTATTATGATGGATATAACAAAATTTTTTAAAAATTTAATTAATGTTCGTAAAATAATAGCAACTGCTCGTGTGACAATTGCTGTTGCTAGGATTTCAATTTCATTCATTGGTGTGCTTTTTTATTTTGCTTTTATCTTGTTGATAACCCAGCTCACTCTTGTAAATGAGACTGTAATCGCCTCTGTTTAAAAAAAATAAACTTTACACTTGCTGTTAATTTGTGATTCGTTTGTGTTTTTATAGGCATCGGTGAAACATCGTTGGGATGTTTCACCGATGCCAATTGCATTGAGGTTTGTGTTTTTTATTATCGATGAGTGGGGCACCAGTTAACTCGGAGGAAACCGATGCAGAACAGGGGGGGGGG